CCATTCTGATTTCAAACCCTACCCGACACGTCCCCAAAGAGTCAAAACCTCAAACCCTAAACTAATTTTCTGAATCATTATGGGTTGAAAACAATATCATTATATCAGTGTGTAATGCTTCATAATCTCCTACTTTGTTGATACATTTTTTTTCTTTAACACAATTTGTTGTTTGATAAGAAGTTTGATGAAGTTAGAACCGAATAAACCGAACCGAACCGCACCGAACCGACTTGCAACAATTCGGTTCGGTTTTGAATTATAGACGGTTCGGTTCGGTTGTTCAAATTTTAGAAAAAACCGAAACGAACCGACCGTTGCACACCCCTAGTCCCAATGTCAGCTTTCATCACTTTTAATTGTTTGTTTGTAGTTGTGAAAATAGTGTAAAGTGATTTCATATGCTGATGTGGTTTGTAAAGTGATTTCATAAAAAAAAGACATGATTTTAGGAGAAAGCTGACATTGAAGTCAGAAAAAAATAATAAAAAATAATTCCAACCAATATGATCATTTGAGTAGGGACCACTTTTTACACTTTCCAAACAAACAATTAGGGACTGTTTGTTTTGAGTTTTTTGCCTCGGGGAGGGGGTGGAAAGCTGCCATTATGGCACCCTCCCCGAGGCAAAAAACTCAAAACAAACAGCCCTTTAATGTTACATTTGCAAACCAAACAAGCAATTTATGATTCCAATGGAATAAAAAACAAACAAAGAAAAGTATACAAGTAAAATTAATGAGGTGGACAACAACTTTCCAAGTTGTGTCATAAATACACAATTTTACCAACAGTAACCAAACAGCCCCTTATACAGAGTCTATAATTTTACACCAGGCTGGATGACGTTGATGTCAAGGATCATATGTTATAGCTGGGACAACAGTGGCGGAACCGAGATTTTCTTTTCTTTTCTTTTTTTTTTTGTTTTGTTTTGTTTTGTTTTGTTTTTTTTGGTGAGGGGGTGTGTGGATAATAATTAAACACGTGTGGTAACATATTAAAATAGAGTGGAAACACGTATATGACTCATGATATATTTTGTGTCCCCAATTTGCTCGGAAAGAAATCCAAAGGGAGAAGTTTTAAGAAAGTTGATGCATCTTACATTTTGCCCTCTGTAAGAGCAAGTGCAGCAAGCTCCCAGTTAGGAGTCCTAGTCAGCATGCTCTCAAGAACTCTCAAGCTTTTCAAAATAAAAAATTAACAAATTATACCTTGGGAGGCACTCCTTCTTTTATGGAGCTCCAACAAGCTCCTAGTTAGGAGCTCCAACAATATCAAAAAAACCCCTCTTCTATTTTAATATTTTACCCATTACTTTTAATTATATTTAACAAACTTTGACCGTCAACCGACTGATGCCTATAAAATTCGACGGCTTCTCTCCTCAACCCATCATCTCCCAGAATAAAATGTCTAGCTCATCTAGCTCTAGCGATGATGAAATGATGAAGAAGTTCTTTCTTATGGGAGCTGTTGTCGTTGAGGAAGAAGAACAAGAGAAATGTTCAACTTCAGTTCAACACAAACGACGTATCGTGCTCCATCGAAACCGACTGGAAGGCCACAATCGGTTATTCCAAGATTATTTTGCTGACGCACCAACCTATCCTCTTTATTATTTTCGTCAAAGGTTCAGAATGAGGCGTTCGTTATTCCTTCGAATCCACGACGCAGTCGTCGAACATGACAAGTACTTCGTCCAAAAGAGGAATGGTGCTGGACAGTTAGGACTATCTAGTCTTCAAAAGATTACTGCAGCTATGCGGATGCTCGCATATGGAGCATCCGCTGACTCCGTTGACGACTACGTTCGGATCAGTAAAAGTACGTCGCTTGAGATAAAGTACTTTGTCTTCCTTCAATCTGAGCAACGCACCCGCAGAACTTGTTGACCGACAGTTGAATCGTTGACCAACGATGCATCATTTGGTTTGGTGTGCGACTCGTTGGATCGGTGAAGTATTGGATAAAGTAGTCGTTAGCTCTGTGCCAGAACTTATCTTTGTGTTGCCCCGTGCCTTGGATGGAGTCTTGGCTCGTGTTCAGCCAAGCAGACACAAGAAGCTTATCCTCGTGGACAGTCCAATTTTCGGACCGCGTGTAAGCCTTCTTCTTCTTTGTGGTCGGTGTTTCTTGGGATGACACTTGTTGTGTTGCGGATTGCGATAACTCGATGGGATGACCTTCTTCTACGACTTCTGTATAGAACGGCGAGTATAAGGTCGATCCTTCACCGGTAAGGAGATGCGAATAGTAGTTGTTTTGGGAGGGATCCATGAGATTTGTAATTTGATAGGAAAATATAGAATTTTTTTTATGAGAGAGTTGTGTGGATTGTGAATTGTGGATTGTGAATTGTGAATTTATAGAGGTTTTTGTTACTGTTCAACAGCAAGAAAATGGAGCTCATAGCTCAACGGTAATAATTTTTTCTCTCAACGTTTCATTTTTTACACAACGGTACATTTTTTCACTCAAACGGCCAAATTTTTCTTTCAAACGTTCATTTTTTCACTCAGTCCAACGAATAAAACATCGAACCCAGAGAATAAAATGTCCACGAAATTTCCCCCAAACCAAAACCTCTTCATTTCCCCCCAAATCCCAACCCCAAATCCCCAAATCCCAACCCCAGTCGGAGGCCTCATCTTCTCCCCCAGTCGGAGGCCTCAAACAACCTTGTCTTCTTCCCAGTCGGAGGCCTCATCTCCGCGAACACCAAGCTCCTGAAATCATCCACCTGTTTCCCCTCCTCTTCCACATCTCCGGCGCCTCATCTTCTACCCAGTCGGAGGCCTCTTCTCCCCAAATCATCTTTGTTTCCCCTCCTCTTCCACATCTCCGGCGCCTCTTCATCTCCCGTTGGATTTTTGCTTCTTTTTGGGCAGATCTGCGAAGGTGTATTGTTGGAGGGGGGGTTTTGTTAAAATCCGGCAGCTTGGGAGCTCCGAAGCTCTCCACCTCCACATCATCGCTTGAGAGCAGGTTGGGAGAGCTTCGGAGGCTGTTGGAGGGGGCTAAATCGGAGGAGGTGTCCACGTCGGAGCTGAGAGCAGGCTTGGGAGCTTGCTGCCCATGCTCTAAGTTATGTAGATTCTTTAGGATAGGGTTAGTTTTGATTTGCACTACAGCAGGATGAAGTCACGATTTGAATTTTAAATTCTAGTTTTGAATCTTTAAATTGTATTAGAGTTAAGTTTACAGCTCTATATAAGGAGTTGAGATTTTCATTGGTTTACACATGAAGAAAATTTATGAATAAATTGAGAAAAGTTAGCCTGAGATTTGCTATCAGGCTTAAGTTCTTGTATTTGTATTTAATTATTTATCTCAAATCCTAGCTGACTTTGTCTACATTTTGCCACTTTGGTATATAATTTTCATCAGATCTTTGAAGTTGTTTTATTAGTCCCTCAAATTATATGGGGGCTTGCAAATTGGTCACCCTAATAGTTTTCCAGTTAAAATATCAAATCACGATTGAATTAACTAGTAATCTAACAATTTCAATTACCACATTACCATTCAGTTAGAGAATTATATATATTTAGAGGGGGTGTGATTGCTCATTGCTGGGAGCCTCCATTTTTAAGGGTTTATACCAGTGAAGGAATGGGTCGAGAAACTAAACGAAGAGGTAAAGTGGGAACCTCCCCTCAAATCTAATGTGAGTTATATAACTAGAGGGACTAATTTGTAAGATCGGAAGGATTTTTAGGGGCTGTTTGTTTGTAAAAATGGGAAGGGGAAAGCCTGCCAAATCTGACAAAAACTGTCAGTTTTGGCAGGCTTTCTTGCAAAAACGCCTCTAAAGAGACGTTTTTGCAAGAAAGCCTGTGATTTTAGGAGAAAGCTAACATTGAAGTTAGGAAAAAATAATAAAAAAATAATTCCAACCAATATGATCATTTGTGTAGGGACCACTTTTTACACTTTCCAAACAAACAATTAAAGTTTTATTTTGCAAACCAAACAAGTGTTTTATGATTCTAATGGAATCAAAAACAAACAAAGAAAAGTATAAAAGTGAAATTGATGAGGTGGACAACAATTTTCCAAGTTGTGTCATAAATACACAACTTTACCAACAACAACCAAACAGCCCCCAAAAAAATGAAACAAACGGGTCCGAAGAACGACGGAAGGAAAAAGGACTAAAAGCCCCACAAAACAACAAACAACAACAAAGAGAGAGAGAGAGAGAGAGAGAGAGAGAGAGAGAGGTCCCTTTATAGTTTATACCCCCTTCCTCGGCCTTCATCTCCCAACTGCAACAGAACTCATCTAATTAAGCAGCTGATTTAAAAAAAAAAAACATTCTTCAAGGAGGGGCCAAGGCCCCAGTGCAGTGGTCCCTACAGAGCTCCCCCATTGTGGGACAGTGTCATTAATGAGGATGACGATTAAGGTGGGTGAGGATGACGATTAAGGTGGGGGAGGGGTACCAAGAATTATGGTAGAAGGTAAAGGCTGACGAGAAGTATCCAAGGGGTGTCGGAATTGCCGGTGGGAGGCCCCGGCCAAAAGCAGCCCGTCGGCATTAGCCTCATCTTTTCCCCTTTCCTCGTACGGACGACTGCCCTTCTTCAACATACAACTTGCTCGGCTTGGCCCCATGCGTTACAATTCCTCTATTTACATTGATTCGGAGAGTGGGGGGAAAAGAAATCAATTAATCAGGAAATTAAGCTAGCGCTGTTGGAAGGACGATAGCTAGGCGGGCAGTGGATGTTGAAGATGTCTATATAGGTACGGAATAGAAATGGAGGAATCTTGGGTACCATTATGGAGAAGTAGTACCATCAGCAGTAGGGGGTCTATGATACCTCGGCGTCACTCAACGGATCAGGAACTGTATCAACTAGCAGGCGGCCATCATCCCCGGAGCAGCAGCAGAAGCAGGAGAAATAGACTTGTTGCTGATGACCATCATAGGCTCAGAAGCAGCAACACCGAGGAGGATGAGGATCACCAGCGTCACCAGNNNTGCCGCAGCCGGCCATGGTCAATGATGGCCACCAGCTGGACTTCTGCGACGTCTTCGGAGGCCCACCGCGCAGCACTACCAATAATATTCTCCTCCGCCGTCATTTCTCCGGCGACTTTGGTAAAACCGCCCCTGCCCCTGCCACTGCTGCTGGTATTAGCTCGGGAGCTACCAATTTTTATGATGAGATCTTCTGCCGACACCCCGGGTCTCATTGTCGTCATCATTGTATGTCTGATCATCCTAATCCTGATTCTAAACAAGGAGGCAGCAGGTGTTCTTCTTCTGTACGACCCACAGCGGGTTGTTCTGAACTTCACTCTAGGATGAGAAATAGAAGAATCAGCAGTAGCAGATCGTCAATTAGAGGAGGAGGTCGTTATCTTCCTGGATTCAACATACCATCGTCGTCTTGTATGACACGGGGGAACACAAGTACACCCGCAGGAGCAGCAGGATTACTGGTGCAGACAGAGGAGGGATTTTACGATGACATATTTGGATCATGCAGCAACATGAATGGCAATGGAGGTAGGAGCTCAAGGACCTGCCCATGTCTCATTTGCAGATCGTCGACCAAGTCTTTTAAGCCAATATCCAAGTCTGGATCAAAATCAAAATCAAAGGCTTCCCGCGGTTCTTCGACAATATCAGTTTTGAGCTCCGATCAGGATATTGAACTGATCATGCCTGGAGTTTATAATCACCACCGTGAGGAGGAGGAGCAAGATGACCAGGACGCTGTTCTCGATTCCTTTGCTTCCAAGCTCAGGTATTATACACTATTAATTACCCTTCAGATTAACTGGCAAGTCCTGGAGATTGAGCACTATCTTAATTTGCTTATATATATCAAGATGGGTTATAATCTAGGTATACATGTTGCCTCTATATAGAATTATAGATTGTAAACCTTCCATAAGAAAGTCCTCCTTAGAACAATTTCACATTGCTTGATAAATTTTCGGTTTGAGTAACAGAAATTTCTTAAGCAGTTCGCAGTTTTAACAGAACATTGGGGGTACTCAAGTTAGCATTTCTGACACAGTAATTAATGAGCCTTAGTTTATTTTGTACGTTATTCAAAATTTTCAGGATACCCCGAGAGAGTAGTCGGATTTACCCAATATGAAGTTCAATTACCATTATATATCACGAGTTTTATGTGCTAGAATAAGAATACATGGAGTCAGCTCCTAACTTAATCGTCTGTCTGCTAATTATTTTCCCGAGTGAAGAATAAACCTAAGTAGTAGTCTGAATTGGACCAATCAGTGTCTCTCTCCCTCTTTCGTGACCCTGCACATTAGGCTGCAACATTAGTGTATATCATGTCAATGTTGATTTGATGCTTTCAAGGTATGGTTCTCATGTATTATTATGTACGTATACATGTATGCAATATTCAGGCCCATCACGATCCCAAGAAGAAGCAGAGCAAGCGGATACGATGAATGTGATACCTCAGCACCATCGACAGTATTAGTGTCAGCAGGTGTAGTCAGAGACACAAAAGAAGAAGATGATAAAGATGATGATGTAGAAGTGAGCAGCAACAGGACATCCACGACCTTCATGGGGTTGTCATCATCAGCGTGCTCACTGCTTCAGCAGCCACTGCCTTCATCAGACCACCACGCTAAAGGAAGCCCTTTTGATGCCAATTCATTCCCACACTACTACTGCTACCACCAGCAACGCCGACCTGGGTTTTGTCCATCTCCTGATCATCATCAGACAACTATTGCTAATAGTAAGATTACATTAATAAGTGAAATGTACGATTTTGCTCCCGGGTCTCCAGTCTCTTCAGTCGTATCTTCCTTATATCTTGAGCCCCTGCCGAGAAATGCGGTTCAAGCTCATACCCAGAGAACCACCGCAGAGAACAAAGCAGCAGCAGAAGAACGAGGAGGAGAAATTGTTGCAAGCATAGTGGGTGACGAGTGTGATAAAGAGAGTGATAGGTCATTAAGCATCAAAGTGACTGAGGATGATGATGAGTATGGAGGAGAGTACTCCAGCAGGAGGAGGCGAGAAATGAGGGAAACAGAGGGAGCAACCGCAGTGGATGAAGCTATTGCTTGGGCAAAGGAGAAGTTTTGCAGCGGATCTTCTGCTGCTGCTGCTGCTGCTGCTGCTGCTGGCATCAACAAGTAATGCTACAACTCGCTAGTTACGTGGATGCATGTACGTGTGTGAGAGCAAGCAAGTGAAGGAATTATATCTATATGTGCATTTGGGACTTTATTACAACTTAAGTCATGAGTTTCATTTGATTTTAATGAACCTTGTAAATCCGTAATGTAGCTAATAGGCTAGTAATTGCAATATATGAGGGATTTAATTATCACGAGTATCTGATTTGGACTGCATTACCGTACGTGCATGCACTAGTAGAAAAATGAGCATTGGCGACGGGGAAATCCGTCGCCAATATAGGGAAATCCGTCACTAATACACTTTCATGACGGGGCGGAGTCCGTCACCAATAATCCTGTCGCCAAATAAAACATTGGCGACGGGGAAAACCGTCGCCAATGACATTGGCGACGGAAAACATTGGTGAACGGGTTATAGCCCGTCGCACATTGTACATTGACGACGGGCTATGCCGATAATGTACATTGCGGACGGGAACGTTACCCGTCGCAATGTAACTTGCGAGGCTTAACCGTCGCCAATGTACATTGGCGACGGGCTATAACCCGTCGCTAATGTACATTGGGACGGGAATGTACCGCACTAATGTTACAATTAGCGAGGGTACGTTCTCGTCGCCAATGTTTTCCGTCGCCAATACCTATCCGTCGCCAATGATCATTGGCGACAGATTTCCCCGTCGCTAATGTTTATTGGCGACAGGATTATTGGTGACGGACTCCGCCCCGTCGCGAAAGTATATTAGTGACAGATTTTGCTGGATTGGCGACGAATAGGTATTGATGACAGAAAACATTGGCGACGGGGTTCGCCCGTCACCAATGTATATTGGCGACGGGTACGTTCCCGTCGCCAATGTACATTGGCAACGGGAAGTGCCCGTCACCAATGTACATAATTAGGTAAAAAGAATTATTTCTGCATTGCAAAGCCCCCCAATCGGGAATGCGTACCTGTTACTACCATTATTCACAATATATTGAACAATACTCACAATATCACATTTATCGATTCGCATCAAACAATATTCACGTTCATCGATTCACATCCAACAATATTCACATTCACATCCAACAATATTAACATTTACATTCATCGATTCACATCCAATAATATTAACATTTAACAATTCACATATATACATAATCAGGAGGTCATAATATGTTCATCACAATCCTAAAGCCCACATAATCAGGAGGTCATAATATGTTTAACATAATCCAAAAGTCCACATAATCAGGAGGTCATAATATGTTCAACACAATCCAAAAGTCCACATAATTAGGAAATCATAATATGTTCAACACAATCCAAAAGTCCACAAAAGTTACCAAAAAGTCTAACTCACCACTCACTCATCATCTTTTTGGCCTACAAAGTCAAAGAGAAATAAATTTCTTATAAACTTAAGTAAATCTTTTTGGCCTACAAAGTCAAAGAGAAATAAATTTCTTATAAACTTAAGTAAGCAAATAAGTATGAATTATCCAAAGTTTAAACGAAATTATTACCTTTTTCCCTCATTAGATCTGACATAGCTTTATCTAGTTTCTGTTTTATAGCACGGTCCTTTCTTTTAATATCATCTCTCTTCAATTTTTAGTTCATATCATATTTTTTTTGTAATTCAATAGCTTTTTCTGGTAGAGGGATGCGAGATACTGACGGAGTCCATGAGCGGAGACATGCCATCTCTGACTGAGAAGATCCGGACATCCTCTCGTGCTCGATCTCATCATCACCAGATCCATCGCAAGCATTGTCTGCAAATATTTATTAGGAATATAAAATATCATTACATTACATTAAAATATCATTACATTACAAATGTATAATACCTATATCTGGTAATGCTCTTGATGTTGCGGTGTACCCATTTGAGATGTCCCCGCAATATCTAACAAATTATAAAATAAGAAATGAGCACATAAATTTATCAATTGAGGTAATTACATACACAGAAAGTTCAAACTGAATAAAGCAAGCAAGCAAATTTGCGTATTATGTATAGCATATCATGGATCCTTGCGGGAACATTAAGGTATATTTGCTTTACCAGGAAGAGGATGAAAACTAAACAAAAAAAGCAAATTTTATACCTTCAATTGGTGAGGATCCATGTAGAGATAACTGACTCCGAGATGGTCCCATGTAGAGATAACTGACTCCGAGATGGTCGTGAGGACGATCCTAGATAAATAAACAAAATAGTAAATATAATGCATATTTATATCAAAAATACAACTTACTTAAAACAAAATTTGAATATGCATACAGGATGATGGACCTTCTCGATCCCGAGGAAAAGATAGCCTCCTAACTCTTTGGCTCATCTGCAACTTAAATTGTTAATCTAACATAATTGAAATATTTAATAAATGCATACAAGATATCAAGTCGAATTTGCATAAGGATCTTTGTATTTAATCTCCTACATTACAGATATCAAGTCGAATTTGCATAAGGATCTTTGTATTCAATCTCCTACATTACAAATATCAAGTCGAATTTGTGAAGTATACATATTAAAATTGACATTCTGAGGGTATGAGTAATTAAGAGAAATTTCTCCTTCGGTCTCATTTGGGTCATCAGTATCATCCGTGTTTTCATCAAGAGCAAGCTGAACAAGAGTCCTCGTTCTCTATCTTCCTCAGATTAGCATATGCATATTCAAGGAATGCTTCTCATCTGTCTCGATATCGAGTATCACCTTTCGCTCTTCTTTTCAATATAGGAATATCAATCCATGACTTATCAGGAACTTCTCTCATATGTATAATAGGAAAACTTATTAATTAATTTAATATCTCTTAAATCGTCATAAGTTTAATAGTCTTTATTTTAGTTGATTGAACAAATAATCAAACAAATTAAATTACTCTTCTCTAATGGCCATTGTTGTACCAAATAAAAAAATCAGTAGTAAAAATTTAATCATAAATTGTAATTATAGAAAACTATTAATTAAACAGTAATTATGTTTTTCATTAAAGAATAATTATGGTTGTTAATATTTAACTCAAATAATCCATTCAAAAGTTAAAATCATTCAAAAAAAAGTCCAGTACACTAACCAAACTATTTCAGTCCTAATCCGAATCCACTACTAACATGTGATTGTCATGTGAAAGATTTAGATCTTTCAAAGCTAGACTTTTTGAAGAAGACAGAGAGTAGGAATTTCTATTTAAACAAGGATATTATCAACTTTTTTTATTATCAAAAAGTAACACCGGTCGCTAAATCTTTTTTAAAAAGACGAAGTGAGAGCGTCTATTTAACCAAGAGGCATATGTAGGTAAAGGGTTTTTTTTTCCAACATTAGTCGTCCAAAATATTTTATGTTTTGAAACTAGTCTCCCAAATCTTCTGGTTTTGAAATTAATCCCATAAATCTTTTAAGTGTTTTGAAAGATGGAGAATCCATCTAAGAATGCGAGCAAATTAATCCCATGAAACTAGTCTCCCCATCATCAGCCAGGCTGAGTTGAGGCTCATTCAGGCAGGAAAGATGGAGAATCCATCTAAGAATGCGAGCAAATTTCTGCCTCTTCTTCTGTCGCTATCAGAAGTTCCGACATGGGCAATCATAGTTGGCAATGTTGTCAACAATTGGGTAACCTAAAACTCTATTTATCTATCACATTGTGCATACCAGTGATTTTGTCGCTAATTTAGGTAATTTTCATTTTTGCAGGGATATTTTGTACTTCGTTCAATGATGGCCTCTCTAAGCGCTGAGGTTTGGGTAATTAAAATATGAAAATACGCTCTCTAAGTGGCTGGTCGAGCGGCGTGGTGGCGGCGGGTCGTCGAGGGCGCCGTGGCGGTCGAGGAGGGCAGGTCGTCGGAGGAGAACGCGGGCGGGTCGATGGGGGAGATGACGGCGATGGGGGAAGACGTCGGCGGGTTCACAAGCGGGGAGACGGCCGGCGGGTCAGGGGGAGAACGGAGGATCTAAGGAGGAGAGAGGGTTTGGGTTTGATTGGATTAGGGTTTTGGTTTAGATATTTATGTCTTCCGTATTTTAATTTTAGCCCCTCAAAATTTTTATATTTTCAAATTAGCTCCCGAAATCTCATAGAAATTGTTATTGCAACCCTAAAATCTAACTATTCTTATCAATTTTTTTTACATCCTCTTATTTAGAGTTAATGATTAGATTATTTCAAAATTAGTCCCTCAAATCTTCAATATTTCAAAATTAGTCCGATTGGCTATCTTCAATATTTCAAAATTACTCACTCAAATCATGGAAATTTCTATTGCATCCCTTAAATCATCACAATATTTACTATTAGGTCCCCTGGTTAACACCGGTTATATTTAAAGAAATATTCTTTTAAATCTAACTATTATTACTAGTTTTCCTTGACTTTTAATTATAAAAAGTTAACCCGTTTGGACCTAGTTGATAAGTTCTGGTATGATAAGTTAACCCGTTTCAAAATTAGTCCGATTGGCTATCTTCAATATTTCAAAATTACTCACTCAAATCATGGAAATTTCTATTGCATCCCTTAAATCATCACAATATTTACTATTAGGTCCCCTGGTTAACACCGGTTATATTTAAAGAAATATTCTTTTAAATCTAACTATTATTACTAGTTTTCCTTGACTTTTAATTATAAAAAGTTAACCCGTTTGGACCTAGTTGATAAGTCCTGGTATGATAAGTTCTGGTATGATAAGTTAACCCGTTTCAAAATTAGTCTGATTGGCTATCTTCAATATTTTAAAATTACTCACTCAAATCATGGAAATTTCTATTACATCCCTCAATTCATCACAATATTCAATATTTCAAAATTACTCACTCAAATCATGGAAATTTCTATTACATCCCTCAATTCATCACAATATTTACTATTAGGTCCCATGGTTAACACCGGTTATATTTAAAGAAATATTCTTTTAAATCTAACTATTATTACTAGTTTTCCATGACTTTTAATTATAAAAAGTTAACCCGTTTGGACCTAGTTGATAAGTTCTGGTATGATAAGTTAACCCGTTTCAAAATTAGTCTGAATGGCTATCTTCAATATTTTAAAATTACTGACTCAAATCATGGAAATTTCCATTACATCCCTCAAATCATCACAATATTTACTATTAGGTCCCCTGGTTAACACCGGTTATATTTAAAGAAATATTCTTTTAAATCTAACTATTATTACTAGTTTTCCTTGACTTTTAATTATAAAAAGTTAACCCGTTTGGACCTAGTTGATAAGTTCTGGTATGATAAGTTAACCCGTTTCAAAATTAGTCCGATTGGCTATCTTCAATATTTCAAAATTACTCACTCAAATCATGAAAATTTCTATTGCATCCCTCAAATCATCACAATATTTACTATTAGGTCCCCTGGTTAACACCGGTTATATTTAAAGAAATATTCTTTTAAATCTAACTATTATTACTAGTTTTCCTTGACTTTTAATTATAAAAAGTTAACCCGTTTGGACCTAGTTGATAAGTTCTGGTATGATAAGTTAACCCGTTTCAAAATTAGTCCGATTGGCTATCTTCAATATTTCAAAATTACTCACTCAAATCATGGAAATTTCTATTACATCCCTCAAATCATCACAATATTTACTATTAGGTCCCCTGGTTAACACCGGTTATATTTAAAGAAATATTCTTTTAAATCTAACTATTATTACTAGTTTTCCTTGACTTTTAATTATAAAAAGTTAACCCGTTTGGACCTAGTTGATAAGTTCTGGTATGATAAGTTAACCCGTTTCAAAATTAGTCCTGTTGGCTATCTTCAATATTTTAAAATTACTCATTCAAATCATGGAAATTTCTATTACATCCCTCAAATCATCACAATATTTACTATTAGGTCCCCTGGTTAACACCGGTTATATTTAAAGAAATATTCTTTTAAATCTAACTATTATTACTAGTTTTCCTTGACTTTTAATTATAAAAAGTTAACCCGTTTGGACCTAGTTGATAAGTTCTGGTATGATAAGTTAACCCGTTTCAAAATTAGTCCGATTGGCTATCTTCAATATTTCAAAATTACTCACTCAAATCATGGAAATTTCTATTGCATCCCTTAAATCATCACAATATTTACTATTAGGTCCCCTGGTTAACACCGGTTATATTTAAAGAAATATTCTTTTAAATCTAACTATTATTACTAGTTTTCCTTGACTTTTAATTATAAAAAGTTAACCCGTTTGGACCTAGTTGATAAGTTCTGGTATGATAAGTTAACCCGTTTCAAAATTAGTCCGATTGGCTATCTTCAATATTTCAAAATTACTCACTCAAATCATGGAAATTTCCATTACATCCCTCAAATCATCACAATATTTACTATTAGGTCCCCTGGTTAACACCGGTTATATTTAAAGAAATATTCTTTTAAATCTAACTATTATTACTAGTTTTCCTTGACTTTTAATTATAAAAAGTTAACCCGTTTGGACCTAGTTGATAAGTTCTGGTATGATAAGTTCTGGTATGATAAGTTTACCCGTTTCAAAATTAGTCTGGTTGGCTATCTTCAATATTTCAAAATTACTCACTCAAATCATGAAAATTTCTATTGCATCCCTCAAATCATCACAATATTTACTATTAGGTCCCCTGGTTAACACCGGTTATATTAAAAAAAATATTCTTTTAAATCTAACTATTATTACTAGTTTTCCTTGACTTTTAATTATAAAAAGTTAACCCGTTTGGACCTAGTTGATATGTTCTGATATGATAAGTTCTGGTATGATAAGTTAACCCGTTTCAAAATTAGTCTGATTGGCTATCTTCAATATTTTAAAATTACTCATTCAAATCATAGAAATTTCTATTACATCCCTCAAATCATCACAATATTTACTATTAGGTCCCCTGGTTAACACCGGCTATATTTAAAGAAATATTCTTTTAAATCTAACTATTTAAAGAAATATTCTTTTAAAGAAATATTCTTGGTCATTAAATCTTAGTAAAATGATGCTTTTGGGGGGGGGGTATTTACAAATATATACAACTCTTGGGTATATATGTAAAAATTTCACAAAAAAAGAAAGTAGTGGTGCTCCAAGAGTTCGAACACATGACCTGTTATATCATATTCGCTCGAACTCAATTTGACGGCTCTTTCTCCTCTTAACCTTATAAAAAAACTCTAAGAGAACTCTATCCAAACTATTTTCATCCGGTTGTTAGTGATTAAATCTAATTTATCTCCTCTCAGATTCATTAATGATGTTTACAGGCTCAAGTCCATCCGTAGATAAAGCCCAGAGTAGTGGAGTTCATCGAATCTACTAGCATAAAGAATAAAAATAAATAAATTTTAAAACTAACATAGAATTCCTAATTAATAGTTAATATTTTAACATAAGAATCTGATAACATATGTATCTTTCCATCGTAAAAGTTGCGGCTACAGCCTCCTCGACGACGACGCTAGAGGGGAGCAGGGGGCCCTTGAGAAGGCCACCAAACAACTGTCCTGGATCATAATAGACTTCCACATCCTCAGCTCTCAAGCTATCATCTACCTGTGTGGAACAAAATAGTATTGGACTACATTTAAAATATTATAGATTTGAGGAACTAATATTAAAATAATTCTTAATTTTTTGTGGGGCCACTCATTAACAATTGGATAATCAATCACTAGTGTTAATTTTTTACGATGGCGACGGACATTGGCGACAGATTCGATTCGTCGCCAATAAGTATTGGCAACGTATTCAACTCCGTCGCCAATAAGTATTAGCGACGAAACATTAGCGATGACTCGAATCTGTTGTCAATACTTATTGGTGACGGATCGAATTCGTCGCCAATGTGTATTGGCGATGGATCGAATCTGTCGCCAATAAGTATTGTTGACGAAACATTGGTGACGGATCACATTCGTCGCTAATACTTATTGGTGACAGATTCGATCCGTCACCAATACTTATTGGCGACGAATTCGATCCATCGCTAATATATATTGACGACGGGACATTGGTGACGAATCTATTCCGTCGCCAATACGTATTGGCGACGCATCATTTCCGTCGTTAATACTTATTGGTGACGAATAGAATCTGTCGCTAATAGGTATTGGCGACGGAACATTAGCGACGGATAGAATCTGTCGCCAATACTTATTGGCGACGAATTCGTCGCCAATGTGTATTGGCGACAGATCGAATCTGTCGCTAATAAGTATTGGCGACGAAACATTGGTGACAGATTACATCCGTCGCCAATACTTATTGGCGACAGATTCGATCCGTCGCCAATACTAATTGGCGACGAATTCGATCCATCGCTAATAAGTATTGGCGACGGAACATTGGTGACGGATCAATTACGTTGTCAATACGTATTGGCGACACATCATTTCCGTCGTCAATACTTATTGGCGACGGATAGAATCTGTCGCTAATAAGTATTGGCGACGGAACATTGGCGACGGATAAAATCCGTCGCCAATACTTATTGGCGACGGATCGGATCCGTCGCCAATGTTTTCCCGTCGCCAAAGGTTATGGGCGACGGAAAACATTGGTGACGGATTGAAATCCGTCGCCAATACAAACATTGGCGACGGGAACAACCCCGTCGCCAATGTTCCATCGCCAATGTTTGTATTGGCGACGGATTTTAAATCCGTCGTCAATAGCCCGTCGTCAATACTCAGTTTTCTACTAGTGATGGTTCATATATTGC